ACGGCACACCTGATCGCTGCAAATGCATAGCTCGCCAACCGTGTTGTGCGGCACTGACCGGCCGTTACTGTCAACCACTTTAAGCTGGACGCCGGCCACCGGTCGGCCAATTGTGGTGTAGTTCGGTGTGGCTTCGGTCAAGTACTCGGTGGTCACCCAACCGGCTTCGGCCGTCAAAAGCACTGCACATATAAAGCACGTGTCAATTATTGAATGTCAAACCCCTTAACATAATTATCAGTAATTGGGAAACCAATTAAGACAAACTTTTTCTAAAACTCCCAAACAATTCGATGGCTGTGTTGTGTGTCTTTTCGGAGATGGCTGTCCCCATAAACCAGACATCTCTTAAGCTCCGGACCATATCTGTGCGCCCAAGACATAGATGTAGTTGGGATGTTGTCAGTATAGCTGTGGTAACCCTATGGCTATGTATGCAATGCAAAAAGTGGTCACCCGTGCCCTCAAAGGTGGCGATCACGAGCGTTGATCCCTTGTTGAGCGCGTGTAGGCATAGGTTAAAACCGGACGGCGAGTAGAGGCCAGCGGTGATGAGCACCACATCGGTGTCGCCGTTGGCCACGAGTGCCGACAGCTCCGGGTTCTGAAGAGCGCCGGCCGTCGCTATGAGGTTACGATGGAAGCGACGGACGGCTTTAGTGCCGCCATCGTTGGCGCTGGCGATGAGTAAAGCGCAGGTGTTTTCAGGCGAGCCCTCCAACGGTAGGCGCAGGTATTGGCGCTCGTATTGCATGACCTGTTCCAACACATCCAGTGTGTCGTTCAGTCCCTCTGTCGCCGACTTTCGGTCGATTAGCAAAAGTTTCTGTCAAACAATATTTGAATTTGTTTATGAAAAACAAATAATAAAATTTTTATAAAATATAATTATAAAACAATTATTTGGTGTCTAAATACTTTAATCGTGATCATTTCGGTGGTGATGACAGCACTCATACCATAATTGAAAGCATCGGTGACTAGAAATGCGGGCTCTATTCCCGTCAACGCCCCATCGATTTCACCTAATTGTTGTAAATATTGTTTTGTTGTTTAGTTTTAACATATCTATGATAATTATTTTAATTAATATTACGATAAGTGGATCGGGAGGGCAGCGAACAGTAGACCCCTCCCGCCGCCCACACGGCCAGCATTGCTACCACATGTAGCGCACTGTCGGCGCATAAAAAGCATACGATATCACCCGGTTTTAGGTGACATTCAGTAATCAAATAATAGGCCAGATTCAGTGCCCACTCGTACACCTGATCGCCCGACCATTTTTGACCCGTCGAGTTGTCTATCTATTTATTTACAATAAATATGTTGGTGTTTATAAGTGAATAATTATGGCCATGATTAATTTATTTCGCATTCAAAACTATGTTAGACATTAATCCCTCGTTAATTATATTTGACTTTCAATTCCCTAAATTTTATTTTGTTGTTTTGTTTGTAATAATCACAGCATTTGTCTTAAGGCAATGGATAACCTTTAAGGCA